ACTTTCTCAAAAGCATTCTATCGGTGCTATTCACTTTTTTTCAGGGCTTCTTACCAGACTGCAGACTTCAGCTCCCACAATACGAACTCTATCATCATCCAATTCCTTTTCTCCAAACATTCCAAGCTGTTTGTGGAAACTGGGCCGACTTAATCACGTAGCAATTGCAGTACCTGATTTGGAGAAAGCTCAGTCCTTGTATAAAGATGTGTTAGGAGCACAGGTGAGCGAGACTGTTGCTCTTCCCGAACATGGTGTCTACACAGTTTTTGTGGAGCTGGGAAATACCAAGCTGGAACTTCTACATCCTTTAGGAGAGAAAAGTCCCATTGCAAGCTTTCTGCAAAAAAACAAGACTGGAGGAATGCATCATATCTGCATCGAGGTATTTTAACACAGTATATCATATAATAAGATAGAGATATTAAAGTATGCATAATTTTTTCATAGGCTTGACCTGTGTCAAGAACAAATACATAAGGCTGTCATATTTGTGATAATTTATATTGCATAAGAAGAAGTCTTAAACATGCCTTTTTCTGTTTTGGAAATTTGGAAAGTTCAATTTCATGAGCTATGTGATAATTTTTTCCTCTTTTATGTTACAAAGATTAAATTGGGGAGGGGAGGGTTAAGTGTCCACTGTGGAAGGTGAACAAGCCAAAGGGCTTGTGAAGAGTGTTTGACAGGTGTCAACTTCGTGACATAGAAAGGACATACACTGGAAAAAGATGGAGTTGTAAGTTTAAGCTAAGGCATAGTTTAGATTTTCAGAAGTTTCTTCCTCTTTGATATTTAGTTGATAATTGTGTATGGACGTCAGAGAAGATTGTCAGTTGTACTTACCAAATAGCAGTAAAGTCTCCAGAGTTTCTTCTGTCCTATTCTTCCTTGTCCATCAAAGAGAGATTGGTCTGGAAGTACATAAGATGTAAAGGTGCTGGGTAAAGTAGTTACCTTATTTAGCATACTCATGTTTTAGTGTAGATGTTTGATGCAGAATTTCATGCTGCTGCCTATGATGTATGTTTTTAATATTTTACAGATCTGAGTCTTGCAAACTATTATTTCATGCAAAGTGTAATAATAAAAATACGATTATTAATGTGAGTAAAAATTGTTCTCAGAATACATCTATAAATACTAGTGTATGCAGTTGCCTGTTTTCATTGAGAATTGAGAAATTTTGCATAGACACAGGCATTGCAATTTTTCTTACATTAAGTTTGTCTATTTGCAGATGTTCAAGAATAAGAAAAACAATTCTGTTTAAATTGACCCTAAATTGTATTGCTAGGCAGTTCTGCTATAGAAATGTGAAAGGCCTCAGCTGAACTTAGAAAATGGGGGGTATAGAAGAAGTGATTTGCATTAAGACCAAAAAAGACCTCTAGCCCTTTGTAAGACCAGGGGTGCTTATGTATTGGTACAAGACGAAGAAGCCGTAGGCTCTTCTCAGCAAAAAGAGCTCAAAGCTCCCAAGGGTTTCAATTATATGTAATCCCTTCTAAGACATTCCAAGAAATACTTGTTACCAGCTGAAATTGTTCTATGTAGATCTCCATTTTGTATGAGAGGTGATCTTGTTGCAGATAAACCAAAGATGGCTGTCAAGGGAAGTCATACTGTTAATTATGAAAATTGAGAAGACTGGGACATGCTAATTATACCATGTTGGACAATGTAGAAGCGTTGTGTTAAAAAAGAAAAATTATAACTGTATACAACAGGTCAAGCAAGTCAGGAGTCCTAATCTAGCAGTTTCCATTAATTTCCATTAATCAGGTGAGCTAGTGCTACTTGCAGCCAGATTTTCCTAAATGAAGTCTTATAACTCACTAATAGATTCTCTATGCAAAAAAAAAACCAAAACCCCAAATTAAGAAAAAGATTGTCCTACGTCCCTCATGTTTGCCTCCATGTAAAAACAAATGGAAGATTATAGACTAATTTACATGGAGAAAAAAGCAATCCATTGTTGACCTGCTGTTTAAATGGGACTGAAAACAGATCTGGTCACTATCATAATCAATCAAAAAGATACTAAGCTCCCTCCTCCAGTTTTCCATTCTCCTCAGAATGGAAAATCTTACAGTTTCAAAGGTACGTTTTCTTCTGAAGTTGAGCAAAAATGGTTTTCAGAAAAACTATAAAAGAACTTCAGTATCAATTTTTTGTTCATTTGAAATTTAAAAAATATTTTGTAGAAATATCTTTCTTTGAACAGTTTTATTGTAAAAAGCTGAATTGTAAAAATTCTTTCCATAGTGGAGAGAAACTCTGACAACTTTATCAAAAGGTTTTTTGTTTCTTCCTTCTGTCTTATTATTCAAAGGAAAATTTTAGAGAGATATTTTGATAGGGAATTTGTTTCAGACAAAATAAGCATTTTAAAAAGAAATTAAATTATTCCTGACCAGCTATAATTGAATTTAATACCTGCAATGAAAAGAATCCTGGACACTTGGTAGAATATGAGAGAAATCCAAGCCTGATATACTACTAACATGGATGTATCCACAGGCTTTCCACTCCTTACTCGCACTGCTTCCTTGGGGATGCAGTGATTCATTCCAGCTGAGCCCAGACACAGTTCCTCTTGTGGCCATCTCTGCAGGACAGGAGCAGCAGCTGCAGTGGCTTTTCTGCTTGGGGAAACAATCTGGAGAGGGCTATGGCACACATTACATGTGCTGTTTTAGATAAAACTTGACAGTAATTTCTTTTTTTTTTTCAGCTGACTGGTAGTTCTGTGTGGGAAGAACTGTGCTGAGTTCACAATTTTCATAAACAAAACTGCTGCAAATGATTACAAATTAACTGATGTCTGTTCCTCTGAATTAAAGCTACGTATTTCCTTCTTCCCTACAATGGCATCATGCAAGATTATTCACCAAGTTATGTCCAGACACCTCAGTCTTGAAAAACAGCAATGCTATTATTTTAATTCTAGGTCTTTATTGATTACTGACTCTTGGATTTGCTAAACTGAGTGCTAATTTTATTATTTCAAAGAATGAATGCAATTAAGGTTTGGGAAAATTCAAATTTCATCTGATGATATGACATCAGACTTATGATCACATTATACAGCGTAGACATGTTTTTGTTAATTATGTATTTCTTCAGGAAACTGTATTGAAATATTATGTTAAAGGCTATTATTATAATTAAGATCAATAGGAAAACCAGGTCATATTCTGGGTATGTTTCTGATAATTCCAAGGTTTTTCTTAGGAAACTTAATGAAGCTTAACCTACTCAGAAGGAGGATATATAAATCTAAAAGAGACCTTCCTTCTACATTCTGGCCATTGTCCTCCCTTTTTACCAGCATCTAATGAGTCAGTGTTCTGTCACCAATTAGACAGGGAGGCATTCTTCTTTAGTTATTGATAGTTTGAAAGCAATATGATCTTCTTAGTAATGCAGAGTTTAGATTATTTATGGAGTCCTTATAAAGTAACTACATAAATCAACGGGCTTTGTGCATGAGTGATTTTTGTGTAATAATTTCTTAAAATATAGCACAATCTATTTAAACAATATTTTATAAAATCTTCAAATAACAAATGCAAGCTTCTGTAGGATTTTTATTTTTAAGACTAGATGTTTTAAAACTGTTTTATAATTTAATTTATTTTCAGATTTATATTAGAATTTAGAAATAACATTTTAGTAAGGAATTGTATTATTGCTCCTAAATGTAGAATCTGCATAATACACTGTAATATGTTAATTTGTGTGAATTGTATTTTTCTTTTATAAGGTTGATGACATAAAAGCGGCTATGACAGAACTGAAGAAAAAAAAGATACGAATATTGAGTGAAGAGCCAAAAATAGGTGCACATGGCAAACCTGTGATTTTTCTTCACCCTAAAGATTGCCATGGAGTCCTTGTGGAACTTGAGCAAGCCTGAGCTGTAATATTCATAAATAAAACACTAGATTAGTTGTGAAGTTACTGAGCTGGTGCTGGGAATATTGATGTGGTATTCATTACAAGTTCAGTGTAGTTCCTGTGGATTAAGTACAGCTTTTGAGTACTGAAATAGTGCTACAGATGTAGGGTAATTTTCTTTTTTTTGTTGATCTGATTTTCAGAATTAATATGTTGACATTTCTTGAATTCTCTGTGATTCTCAAAACAAATACATGAGCCAAATTACATACGTAACATAGTAATTTATGTTCTGTTACCTCATGTTTGCAGCATGATTTTACCTCTGTAACCACAGAAACTACCGTTTCTAGGTCAACCCACATTATTTTGTTCTACATTTCAGAGCAGAGACCCACTTCTCAGTGACAACAATACAGCTTAGACATTCTCTTTAGAAATAAAGGAAAAATGAACATTGTATTTTCTGTTTTCACCATTCACCATCTGTGCTTCACACTGATTGATTGGTTCATGCAATAAAAAAATCCTTATGTTATTGTATGGGTGGCTGCAATCAGTTAATAAGTTTTCCTTGGTATAACAATTACTGCCAAGGAAGTTACCACGCATAAATCATCGTTTAGTTGTTTTATGAACTCTCTGGATATGCAGGCAATGTGAGAAAAGTACCTGAAAAATTATTTGCCTGAAATATATTTCAGACTTGTCACATTTTAGTTTTTTCAGGTATTGAATATTTGGTTTTTAAGCTTTATCCATAGGAAGATATCTGGGACAGACCTGAACAAATTAATCTTTTCACTTACTTTGTAAATATGGTTTTCCTATGCAAAAGCACTTACAAAATTAGTGGAAAACACAAGCTGCGTAAGTCTTGGTTATGTATACTGTCTTTAACATTAGAGAGCATGCCAGCATGCTTATGTTTCTGATAGACTGGAGTCACAGTTTGTTTACTTACTCATGGACAGACTTCACTTTATTGCTGTATGCTAAGCAACCAGTGTTTGTCCTGATACTTTCTTTTATAGGTTTGTTTTGACATGTCAGCTGTAGAAATTGAAGAATTGCTGTTCCTCTCCCTAGTTTTCTTAATCCTTAAACGTAATATTTTTTCCTAGCTAAACCACAGTCGGAATTTTTTATTTTCCTACATCTCTGCATATACACTAAATAGTTTCAGCTTGATATGAGTTAAGTTCATTTTAGTCTAGGAGAATTCTTACTTAATGGAAATGGAATTATTTGTGTTCTGTGTCATGTTTGCTACAACAAAATACAAGTATAATATTGACCTGAGATTTAAATAGGCCTTTAAAGACACTGATGCTTCCTCATGAATTTTACTTCTGAAAAAACCACTGCAAAGCCATGCATTTTTTTTAAACGAGACAGTTTTGTACTCAAAATAAATACTACTCCTGTCATATTTTAAGAAAAACACAGTTTTCCACAGGGTTCTTGCATTTCATCAAGTCTCTGTTTAGAGGGTAGTTTGTGATCTAAATTCTCAATTGTTTGAATTTAGAAATCCTAAGGCTCATGATGGAAAAGCAGGATGATTTGATATTCCTGAAATAGGATTCTGCCATTCTGGGAGACATTCTATTAGCAAAACTGCTTTTGTCTCTCCATTCTTTCAAAGACAGAGAGGCATCTTTTCTGCAAAACTAGCACAGGAAT